AAGGAAGGAAGGAAGGAAGGAAGGAAGGAAGGAAGGAAGGAAGGAAGGAAGGAAATCAGTCGCTCTGTTTACACAATATACTTAACAAGGTTAGTTACAATTCTACTGGTAATCAGCATCATCTGCAGAGGGTGATAAAAAAAGTCAAGATGTGGTTGCAACCATGAAATTGAAGACCTGTCCCTTTGTATGTGTGTGTGAAGTCAACACACATACAAAGGTGGGGGATTTAATTGCATGATCATGATCATCATCTTGAATTTTTTGACATCCCCCCCCCCCCACGGACACCATGGGGATAGATTATGGGGAAAGACAATGCTGCTTTATTGCAGCCACGAAATAAGTTTATATATATTCTTTTCCCTTTTTGAGATTATTTTGAGATTGGAAGCCATCTCAAAGGTTCATCATGGCTATTCTGTTGATAGTTTAGTAGGTTGTGCAAATCCAACCCATTTGCCAGGTTAATGGTTCAGTTCACTGGAACCAACACACTTGGCTCCATTCGCACAACCCACTTAATCAGCCATCACTTTCTGGATTTGGCCAATGTATCTGTCCAATCAGCAGAAATGCTGATTCACCCTGGCATGGAGTGGTTGACCAGAAGGTGTCCTTCTGGGGAGAAGATGGCACTCTTAGCATAAGCACACCTTATGAACAAACAGGCTGGAGATCCAGAATTCTCCCTGTTTCCAGCACAATTCATGAGAAGCACTTACTGTTTTCACGAGGACAGAATCTGTAGGACCTGACCCAGTCAGAGACGCAACAGTTGGGGACAATGGCTCTCACTCGGGCATAGTAGCGTTCATTGAAATCCTCAGTCTCATGAGTGAGATTGCAGAAGTTCTGGGTGATATTTTGGCACTCAGGTTTATTCTGCCAGGTCTCCCCATACCTATGACCAGACCAGACGGTTACTCACATAAGTTTGCAAATGATATGCAGGTGTAGATGAGGAACCAGGTGGACAGCATCCAAAATTGTTAAATGACAAAGTAGATACGGATCAAGATAGATGACTCCCAATCCTGCATTTACCAAAACTGAGCCATGGGCCAGAAGGTATCACCTTCTGGTGGCTTGATCCATGGCACCATTAATGTGACCATCACCTCACCACATATTGTGGAACGCATAACTATTTTTAGGTTTGGACCCCATGCGGACATTGAATCCAATCAATTGGATAGTTAAGAGACTTATTTTCAGGCTGAGTTCACACAATACACTTACATTTGTACCACAACAAATTGGATTAGTTTTCATCTTGGTTAATTTTTGTGGGTGGATGTGTGTGACTAACCATGTTGGATGAATAGGCAAATATGCTCCTTCCCAGAGCTTTTGGGTATAATGAAATAACAGCTTGGTTAATTCTGGCTGTGATTTAGTTGCGGAATGAGTGGGGCAAGCTAATGGTCTGGAAATGTCCCAGTGAGTCATGGATCTCTGACCTATACTATTTCCCTACGCTGGACAAGTTGTACCTGTTCTTAAAATACATGCTAGAAATCTTCCATTGCTATCACCTTTCCTGGTTCAGATTTCCAAAAGTTTAAACATTGCAATAAGGCTTGTGTGTTTTCTTAAACAAAATGCAGCTGCCAGGTTCCAATCTGTACTTCTAGAGCAGTTTAAATGGAAAGGGGGAGGGCATTTTGACAATTCTGACTAAGATCTTTTGTTGCCTAAGGCAGAGAAGCAAATGGTGCCCCCAGCCAAGTGCCACGCACCTCATAGTGAGATATTTTGGCCCATTACATTCCCAAAGCATTGCTTCCCCTCCCAAGAGTAAAAACACAATACCCACAAATTAAACACTGTTTTGTTTGGTACACCTCCATGGTATCTAAAGCCTGTTTCCTCAAGCATTTGCGTCACTCTGCTTCTCGATAGGGCCGGCCCTCCTGTTTTCAGCTGGTGTTTGCTTGTTTCTTTCATTCAGAAAGAATATCTTTGGCCATTTTTCCCTTAATGGGACTGCATCAGTCTGCAGATCCTTTGGCTACCCCTTGTGAAACAAGCAATGAAACCAATAAGCCACCCTTTATTCATACTTTTGGAGCAAACGCACTTTGATCTAATTGACAGATGTAGACTACAGTAATCAGAAGGACTGTTGCTTGAGAATGAATCTTGTTCCCAAATGACTCAGGCACCCATCTTCGGTCAAGCATGCAGCATTGTTATGCTTCCCTGTCTGCAGAAACTCTACTTTAATTGCTATTGCACAAGTGAGTAATCCAGGTCGGCTGAGCATCTCTCCATGCCTTACGGGGGGGAGCCAGTCCTGCTTACTTTGGATTGGATTGGATTGGACTGGAGGAAAAATGGCCTAGATACCAAGTAAAGCAAGCCATTTGTGGGAATGGATGCAAAACGCAGTGTGCTTTTTGGGATAAAGGGACTCCATTGCAAAGAGACACATCAGCTAACTGGAGCAAGATGCTATCGAATGAGTCAAAGCTGCCTTCAAGGGGACTTTTTTCCCCTACCAAAAAAGTTTGTTACAGTTAATTATTTGGAAACAAACAGGCCAAAGTACATCAACAACCAACACCTAGATAAGCAGGGATTAACACCAGACCAGACCACCAATCAAGCAGAAAACAATACCTTAATCAAGGAACTACCAAGGAGAAAACCACACTCCCACCAACACTGGCAGGACAAGTTTTGTATATCAACAGGGAGCAAACCCCACACTCACTCGCACTGATGATGTTACCTTCTTGGGTAATGAAACATCTGCAAGCAAACAACCAAGCTCAGAGAGCACCAAGGACTCCGCATATAGGTGTGCTTTGTACAGCCCTTTCCTTAATATATATTCATTTATCATCATCATCATCATCATCATCATCATCATCATCATCATTTCAAAATTATTATAGCCACCCAACTCCAAAGGACTCTGGATAGTATATAACTGGTGAACTACACTGTGGAACTGAGAGAGCAGCAAATATTGAACAACTAAGGTTTGGTTCAAATTACTTCCTCCTTCTCTCTTTTTTGGATTACTAAAGAGTACAGACAATCCTCTACTTACGAACTTTCAAGTTACGAACTTTCGCCAATACGAACAAACCTCCAACAACTCCAACAATGAAGGTCCTGGAAGTTTACAGTGCACATGCGTACGTATGCCCAGAAGTGTACGGCACACTTATATGTACACCTGGAAGTTTACAGCATGTATGGGTACATATGCAGCACACCATAAACTTCTGGGCGTATGTATACAGTGCACTGTGGTCCAAACCACAGCAAACTTACAAGCAAAATAGACTTACAAACAGCCTCTTGGAACGTAACCTGTTCGTAAGCAGAAGACTGTCTGCACCTGGGTGTACACATCTAGAGGAGGGTCACAGCAGGGCAAAAAGAGGGGATTTGAACTTTTCATCACAATGCAGAACTAGCTGCCCTTAGCCCACAAGGTCGGCGGTTCTTGTGAAGGGAAGAAAGCAGCTATTTGATTTGGAAATAAAGTATATAGACTTACAGTACAGTATTTAGTACACTCACTGAATAAGGGGAAGCCCATGGAATGGCAGAGGTCACTTTTAAGCCAGCATTAGCTTCCCCAAACAACACTATTGTCCCCTTGTAGCTTTTCAAGGGTACAAGCCACGTTCAAATCACAGAACTCTTTATTTTAAGCCAAAGGAAACTACAACCATCCAGAGTCACTTCCTCGTGAGATGGGCGGTGTCTAAATTCGAAATATAAATAAATAAATAACTTAAGTAGAAGGCGCTTATTATCTCTACTTCTAAGCAAGACCTGTTGTTTCAGAACCTGTTAAGCAGACAAGCTTCTTTTGATCTGAAAAGGAGTTAATGATTTAGCTATTGCACTTCACTTTTGCTGGCAAATGCGGGGGTTGGCTATAATCTCTCTGTTCCTGCAGCTGGAACTTTAATGGCTACCTTTGAGCCACCCTTCCTAGGTTTGGATTTGAATTTAGAGGTGTGGTCAAACTGGGTGCATATAGTCTTTGGGGGTTTCTCTATCATGTTGGGATTGGTGAAGACCCTGACTGTGGACCACTAACAGCTCAGCCGAAGCAGCTACAAATTTAGCATTGCATTGGTACGCCATCCTAAACTGGGTTAGTTTTAACCTTGTATGTGTGCATATATGTGTGTTTTAGTGTGTTGTGTGAATTCCACATAATTTGATTAGTTTATGATTTAGTGTATCAAAAGTCAGAGCAGGGCATAAAAGGGACAATTCAACAACTGAACGAAGTGTGTTGCAAGAAGAGAAGAGAAAATCCCTCTTGAAGCTGCACAGAAGCCTAATGTTTTTTCACTTGTTGGCACAACAGTTACTATTGTTTTACCCTGTTTGAAATAGCCATGGATTCAGCTCATACAATACAGGCCACCAACTTCTATGAAAAAGCTTAACGTTCTTACTTGTTATACTGGACATCATAGAGCGTGCCTGGGGGGGTCTCCTCCGTGACCTTCCATGAGAAGATGTTTTCAAAGTTGGTGGACAAAAAAGTTGCTTGCTGAATGACTGGTGTTCTTTTTCCCAGTGAATTCCCTGCAGGAAAAATGAACAAGTATTCAAGATCAGCATCAGTAGAAAATGCATCATCATTCCTTGTTTCCATTAAAGCTTTCCATTGTCTGAACCCTACAGCCGTGGGTCTCAGAGTTTGCAACAAGAAACGTAGAAGACAAGAGGCACCTGCTAGATTATCCCATTAAGAATGATAACTGATTATAAATTGTAAAAGAGAGAGATTTTCTTGCCATTGCTTTCGTTTCCTTATGAAGGAAGGAAATCAGCCTCTCATTCCAGCTATATTTGCAGACAGTGCTCAGGAAAAGACATCAGTGGATTCAACAGGTGAAGGTTGTATAATTTTAACCGTGTTTAGAATGTTGTGGCTTAGGAGGATCCCATTTGGTAAGGTTACAGTTCGACATATAGTCCAACCCCCCCCCCCCCCATGAGTCCATCCATTAGCCCAGTTAAGCGGGCTGTGTGAAGGCAGCCTCTGTGTTAGAAGATGTGTTTTCTAATGATGGGGAGTCAAAAAGATTAGTCTCCCAGGCCTAGTTCTCAAACATACAAGATGAGGAACAAGCCAATCATTTTTCCAGATGTGCCATGAGGTTTCAGCTTGATGGTCAGATGCCCTAATCTGAGAATGGGTGTCTGGGCCTGGCAGCTGCTAAGACTCGAACTCCAGGAGGGGATTTCATATCCCCTGAACTCTGCTCTTCCTCCTTTTTGCATTTCTTAACCTGGATTTTCCATTTGTGGGCAATCAGGATTAAGAAGGAAGAGTAGCAAACTCCAGGTCCCTTGTCCTTTCTTACTGGCTGGCTTCACAAAACACATTTAACCAGCACAGTTAGGAAAGACGTACTATGCTTGTTTAGGGTTAACCTGATTAGCTCCATTATAGCTTAGTTGTAAGGAAAACCTAGCCCATTTGGTTAGCGTATGGCAGTTAGTAATGTACAAACCAGAAAATGGGTGAACTAAGTAACCAGGTGTGTTTGTTTGATCCCTATTTCTAGAAATCTCTGCACGGCTTTTAGCCTGAACCCTGACCTGGGAGTGCCAGGAAGAAAACTTCTACCAGGACTGGTGCCCCTTGTCTGTGACTGCTGAAGCTAATTTGAGGTTATCCAGGAAGATCTCTGGCACTAGAAGACAACCTCATTAGCTCACTGCTTTCAGCCTTTTACAGTCACCAAGACAATAATCAACAGAGAAGTGCATTGCTTAGAAATTTGATCACCACCCTTAGAATTGTAGCACTGAACAAACAAGGTTGGGATTTCTGTATTGCCTAGAATGGAGCGTAAGAACTGAATGTATCCCAAACTCTGTGCTTAAATTATCTAAGAAATGTGGTGACCTTAGATCCTTAATCCCAACCTGCACGGGAAGAGACGATTCTGAGTTACTTCTCTGCACAAGAATTAAACTCCTTTCATGCTGCTGGGGGAATGGAAAGAAGATGCAAAGAGAGACTCTTCAGGATGGGTTGGACCCGGGAGGCTATTTGAGAAGGACTTCGGGGAATGGGTCCCGGCCCCCACTGAGCAGCGTGCCCCTCAAAGCATTGTCCAATAATGGGTTTACAGAATATGCCTAACCAATCAGTGAAAGCGGTGATCTTTTGTCCTTCCTCAAAAGGATCTGCAGGACCCCAAATTAATTAAAAGCATTTCCATTTTTCATTTTCTTTAGGACTGAGATCTTGTAAGGTAACCGAATTCTATGAGATTTTCATGTTGTTATGTGAAGTCTGGAGAGAATTGAGGAAAAAAATGACAACATCTGGTGAGCTCATTACATCTGTGGCAAAATATCAATGTTTGCGTCACCAGACCAGAGACCATCTGCAGATCAATAATGGTTCCAGAATCACAAACTGTTGCATTAAGTCCAAATCAAACAAGCCCCGTTACAGTTTATGCGACAACTAGCATGCTGTTGCAGCAGTTAAGCGTTTGAACCAGAATGGGAGAGACTCAGTTACGAATATATTTAAATACCACTTCCCACTATGGTAAACTGACATGTTTAAACTCAGCCATAGATTTTCATGGGGAAATTTGGGGGTAATACCTATCTGTCAGTGGGTGGTTGCTATGAGCATAAATATGGAGAAGAAAGTATTACATATTTGAACTGCTGGGGGAAATCTAACAGATAAAAAAGATAAATTCTTTGTGGGGTCGGGGTCACCTGGTGAGTTTCATAAGTGAGTGAAAGTTTGAACACAGGTCTCCTTACTTTTAGTATAACTGTTGTTTGTTTGCTGTAGTAGATACTGAAAACACAAAACCCAGAGGAGAAGCAAGAAAATAGAAAAGAGATTAACAAGCTGTATACAGTGGACTCTCCAGTGATTAGCAATTTATTCTGCTGATTCTAGAAGCTAACATTTATCTCTGGAATGTACGATGAATTCATTGCTGATTAGCTATTATTTCTTTTTCATTCTTTTTTCATTTTATTTTAAGTGGAATAGTAACAGAACAAGAACAAAACACAAAGAAAATGACAAGGCAGATAAATACTCGAGGAAAAAATGACGCATAAAATGTGCTTTAAAAAAGTGAAAAAAGAAACCAGATATAATATAGCACTATAACAGTTAACAGTTACAATTCTATGTACACTTATTTAATGTAAGTATTATTCAAGTGCATATATACTTATTTCTAATACCCTTATATAACTATCATTCCTTTTTAAAAGATTTGACATCCTTTCTTGCAGCCTCATGCTTGCCCTCTACATAGATGAAACCCACGGTCAACCTAGGCTGGATTTCAACTTCACAGTTGTCAGCAAGTATGGCCAACACACCACTGAGAACGGCAATCTGCAGGAACCTGTTTTGTGTCTTCCATACACATCGTTTAGTAACCCTTAGAAACCACTAAAATGGAGATTACTATCCATGTAAAGCTAAAAAACAAAGGACACCTAGGAATATTGAGGTCACCCTGCAATTCAAATCAAGATCTTCCAGAATAAAATTGCAGATTTCAGAGCTTTCCACATTTGTTACATTAACTTTATGATGTGGTAAACCTGCCAATATAAAATTGACCTTTAAAAGGTCTCCCAAAGAGAGATTCATTTCCCACTGCATTTTTTTTCCAAACCAGTTGGGCATCATTCCTCTTTTTCTTTAAGTTCAGCCCGAGGGTGACTTCTCCTTAAGACCGTGATGTATTGGTACTTCACAGAAATAGGTCCTGTCTGCTTCAGGATGGCAAGAAACGAACCCACCACCATTACACACAAGGTCAAAACAAATATGATATGGTTCAGATCCTGCCCAAGAGACTCTTGGTTTCGTCTATTTATTAGAAAAAATGTACACCGCCACCTGTAGTTCATAAAAGAACCCTTGGTGGTGAACAAATAGACATACAAATAATAAAATACTCAAGATTACAAAAACAATACACGTATTGTGCTCGTATTCCACCTTTTCATTCCTCCATCCCTCCCTTTATTTTCACATCCAGGAGTTTCTGTTGAAAGGCTTTCGGCTGAGTCCCAGCAGGGTGTTTTTGGCTCTGCTGAGCCTCAAAAAGCCAGCAATAAAAAAAATGTGATTTTCTTTCTTTAATCTGGGTGAGAAAACCAGCTGAAGAGGAACAGATGACAGGATCGCTTACCTGGTAGACAGCACAAGACCCAGAAGATGAAAAACATCTTCATTGATCCTGTAGTGAGATTAGCCTGGCACAAGGATGATCCTCCAGGAGTCTCCAAGGCTCCCTCGTTGGCAAAGCCAGACGGTTCCTTTTCACCAGGTTGAGAAATTAATACGGCATCTCCGTTCCCACTGCAGCCATGGGAAAGGAAGCACCTCAGGATGCGCTGAACCCTCAATCTCTCCCCCACATCAGCACACCCTGCCAGATGAATGTGCTAAGCAGCTGGAACCCCTCCATCAGTCTGAGGCAAGCATTTCTTCTGATAAGCTACTTCCTGCAAGCATTCCTTCACGCCCAGAGCAGTCTTTCTGGTCTGTTGGCTAATTTATTTATTTTCAGCTGTACCTCGACAGGCAGTAGCAAGAAGGACACCACGCCCCAGTCTCTGCAACTTCTGCAATTCTCATTACGCTGCTGTTGCGAGTCAAGACAACCGAGGCGATCTCGGGGCGACAGAAGGAACGGCTGGAGTATCATCCCCAAACTGGATTTTTATTTTGGATTTGTTTTATTCTGGAGCACCCGGCATCCTCGGGCCCAAAAGTCTTTAAAAGAAAAGGAATTGATGCCAGTAGATAACAATTGAGCTTTCTAATTTCACGGATGCGGAATGTATAATGGGTGGAAATGGCTAAATTGCTGTTCCAAAAGACCTTTATAAAGGGTTGGACATGTCATCCCTGTCACCAAATTCATGGTGTAGAATAGAGGATGGATCACCTGGTGTCCTACTTTCCATCTCTAGTCTGCTGCTGTTATGTACTTAAAAGGGTTAAGGCTGGAATAACCAAAGACCACCCCTCTTAGGACTCCAAATTACCCACAGAATTGTTTCCAGTGGTTCTGGAAAGTTTCCAACAGTCTCTTTGGATATATAGATATTAAGATTGTGGATTGTTGTAGTTAAGCCTTTTCGTTTCTTACCTGTGCTTTGTGTCTTTCTCTTCCTCTGCTTTGGCCTGCCTTTTATCTCAGTTTTGCCACTTAACTGCTTCCCCCCCCCCCCCCCCC